GTTGTTGCATTTGTTTATGACCCTATCCAAAATTTCCCCTATCGATTCTATTTCGGTGCCGCTTCAATCATCCCCTCCCCCAAAAAAAATGAAATTATTTCTATTACCGAGACTGAAAAAAACCAAGACCGAAGGCTTCAAAGAAAGACAAAATAATAAAGCAGGCGGCGGATATCGGGCCAGCTGAACAAAAAAGACATTCGCAGAATATAGCCAATCACAGCCCGCACAGAACGATGTTTGAAAAGGAGAATGGCATTTCTTGGCCCCGCCCTCCTGGACGGGAAACCGAATGAAGAAGCCAAGTGGGCGGCGCGGCTGGCTTCGGAATTAAAGCGCAAAAGCAATTCGCCAGTCTATCAAAGGGGAAAGGGAAGAAAAGAAGGGGGGAAAGCGAGGAGTTCCGTAGCCAGCGCAGCCTTCTCATTCGCCCTTGCTCCTTGTGCTGTCCAGCGCCATATGGTCAAGCCCTTCGCGCAAGGCACGCTTGCTCGCCTCCAGACGCCGCCCCGACGCATCCTCGTCCGCCTCCTCGTCGCCATCCTCGTCGTCGTCAAACGACGTCAGCAGCGGGTCGTTCTCAAGCACGGGCCTCAGCGACGCCTTGTCGTCCCACGCAGCCGCACCCTCCTCGGGCACGGCCACCCGCCAGTGCGCGGCATCCACCCCACGCGCATGCGCGACCAAGCCCGGCTGGTCATCGAAGGCCGCCGAGCAGGCGTAGCACGTGTTCCGGGCGGCCGTCCTGCGGATGTGGTTGATCAGCGAGACCGTGCGGTAAAAGTCCAGGCCCGCGTCCTTGCGGATCCTGCGGATGTCGAGCTGGAACTCCCCGCGCATCAGCGCCCAGCACTCCTCGGCCGACGCGCACACCTGGGCCCCGAACAGCGCGCGCGCGGGCACGTCGGCGTTGTCGTCCCAGTCGGCCCACGAGTCGTCCTTGCGGTCGCCGCCCTCGACGTCCGAGTCGGCCTCGCCCTCCTTCTCCAGCGCCTCCCACGACTTGCCGGGCTCGGCGTAGTTGATGACGTAGAAGCGGTCGTACAGGCGGTTGTGCGCGCTGATCTTGAAGTGCTTCTTCTTGCGCATGTGCTTGCGCAGCACGGCCGGCGACGTAAAGGTCTTTTCGCAGTACAGGCACTGCAGCGCGGCCAGCTTGCGCTCGAGGATGGCCAGGAAGGCCTCGACGTCGACCAGGTTGTCGGCCAGCCCGATGTTGAAGTTGTGCTCGCGGTACGCGTGGCGGAAGACGTCCTGGCGCGTGTCGCCCGTGTGCTTGCAGAACAGGCACTTGCGCGGCCGCTGCGCCACGCCCTGCCGCTCGGCCGCCTGCGCGGCCAGCACCGAGTCGAGCGACGCGCGCTGGACGCGGTCGCGGATCAGCTTGTCGGCCTCGCAGGCGTCCGGCCCGACGACGCGCACGCCGTCGTCGCGCGGCGCCACGGCCTCCAAAAGCGCCGGCGCGTCCGCCCACGCGTCGATGTACGGCTGCAGCATCAGCGACATGTGGTTGAGCTGGCGGAAGACCACGCGGTGGGCGTCGCGCAGGTGGCGGGCGGCCTCGGGCTGGCTGCCCAGCGCCGGGCGGCCGGCGCACAGGGAGCAGTGCAGGGCCAGCGGCACGGGGTCGAAGTGCGTCGCCTCGTCCTGCGAGTCCTCGGACTCGTAGGCCGACACGTCAAGGTCGGCGTCGTCGATCGCGTCGAACGCCTCCTCCTCCTGCGAGTCGTCGTCGCGCGTCTCGAAGAACTCGCGCAGCTCGTCGTTGCGCCGCGCGCGGCTGCCCTTGCCCACGTGCACCTGGAACTTGTTGGCGGTCTCCAGGCGGAACCCTGGCGCCGCGGGTGCTGCGGAGGCCGGGCCGGGGCCGAGGGCTGCGCCGGGGGCCGGTGGCGCGCGCGAGCGGCTGCGCGAGGCGGGCGGCCTGGACGTGCGCCAGCTGCTTGCGGGCGCGGCCGACGCGTCGTCGCCGCGCCTGGCGCCGGGCCGGCTGCGGGAGCGGAGCCCGGGCTGGCTGCTGCTGGCGCCTGCGCTGCCGCTGCTGGTGGTGTTGGTGTTGGTGTTGGCGTTGGCGCTGCGATTGCCGCCGCGCTGGGGGCGCTTGGCCGTCTTTTCGGGGACCGTGTGCCAGTCGTCGTCCGCCATGCTTGGGGGGAGGGGGTGGCTGATTGAAGGCAGAAAGAGGCAGAGGGGATTTAATGTAGAGGGGATTTGAGTTAGCGAAAAATAAAAGCAAATGAAGCAGGGGCAATCTCGGGTGGATTCAAAGATGAAAGAAAACCCCCCGAATTTACGAATCTGCAATTTCTCTCCCTTTTTGCGACTTGCTAAAAACCAGATCGTTCCCAGCCCTTCTGGATCAACCTTCGTTTCTGCCTGTTTACTTTTATTTCTCTGCCTTCTCCTCATTTCCCTCCTTCCGCAACAAAAAAAAGCCGCTTTTATTCCAATGAACATTGATGCCCTCACCGAGCAGCGCAGCCTAATGGACTCTGCGCACGCCAGCCTCAAGCACAGCACCGACATGCGCCAAGCCAAAACAATCCTCGACAGGACAGCGCAGACCCGCGCACATAGGCAGCAGGTGCTTGACAAGCAGCAGGAGACCCTCCAGCTGCTCTCTCGCCGGCTCCAAGGCGCGCGCGCCCGCGTGGACTCTGCGAAATCCCAGCGCCAGGCGAAATCCCACGCCGAGACCATGCGCGAAATGCACCTGGAAAAGCAGGCGCTCAGCTTGGCTGTCGAGGCCCAGGCAGCATTGCGCCAGGAGCTGGGCGAGCGCATAAGCGGCCTGGAGGCCAAGGAGGTTGAGGGTGCTGAGGAGGTCGGGGAGCCCGAGGACGTGCTTAGGCTGATGGTGTATCGCGGCTTGGGCGTGGAGCCGATGGTTGAGGGCGGAAACGTTGCTGCCGTGCGGTGCGTGGGCGAGCAGGTGGGCGCGGCTGTGGTCGGGGTTGATGCTAGCGCTGATGCCGGGGCTTTGGCTGCGCAGCTGTGGAGCATGTGCTCGTAGAACCGCTGCTGCCCTTTCTGCGCTGGACGAGAGAGGGAAGGATCTGCCGATGCACGTGATTTTCTCTCTCGTTTCTTTTGTGCGCCCTGCCATCTCTCTGGCTCCTCCCCTCTCCTCTCTCCTCTCTCCTCTCTCCTCTCTCCTCTCTCCTGGGCGAACGGAGACAAAAGCCCTATCTATCTATCATTGCGCACCCATCTCTGCCTTTCTGTGCGCCATCCCACTTTATCTTTTTTCACACGCGAAAGCCCCTCCCGCTGAAATCCCCTGCGGTTGCCGCTGGCCGCTGCTCGCTGCTGCCCGATAAGGCATGCACTCTGACCATTTTTGCCCTTTGTTGCGGCGCATTTAGAGAGTCACATGGAAAACCCAAGTCACAGTCGGCAAACTCACTTCCGCCCTGAACGCCGCAAGCAAACAAAAAAGTATAAAGCAAGGCCCGGCCCAGTCGCGTATTCCCCCCCCTTCCCTTCTTTTTCCCTCCCTCCTTACTTTCTTTTCATTCACTCTACATTATTACTTTCCTCTTTTTTAATTTTATTTATACAGGCGCAGTCATAACCCAATGTCCGGCATAACAAACGAACTAGCCACGAAAATCTCACACTTTGCGCGCTTCCCGCAAACCGGCGTCTCTCTGCGCCAAATGGTCGAGTTTGGCCAAAACCCCTCACAGGGAACACTCCTGCGCGCCGCGCAGTTCCTCCATGACGAGCTGCCCATCCGCCTGGCCCACCGCGTGGTCGAGTTGGACACGCTGCCGGACAACCTCAACCAAATGCCCAGCGTGTTGCGCGTCAAGCGCATGTATATTGATTCGTTCAACGAGCTGATTAATTTCCCAAAGGTTTCGGAGAGGATAAGAGAGGCCGTGCGCGCTGCTACTGTTCAGGCGTCCGGACAGAGGAGGCATTTGCCAGGGAACCACCAGAATCCGTCTTGCGGGGATAATGCCACGCGTAACTCTTCTACACATTGGATTCCGTCGATCCAGCATCGGTAAGTTTATAAATATAACTTGAGGCTGTTTTAATATCCCTTTTTCTTCTTTTTTTGTTCTTCTTCTTCTTCTTCTTCTTCTTCTTCCAATGCCTAAATTATCGTGTTCATTTTTAGTAGTTACCACTATGAGGTCAAACCCACCGAACTGCCCGTCGAGGTGTCCGAGTACAACCGCAGTTTTGTCAAGACCCTGGAGAAAATAAAGCGGCGCCACGATCCCGTTGTCACTGCCCTGGCACAGGGCGTGGTCGAGTACAAGCAGCTGCTGAAGAGCCACACCATCCACCCACACGTGCAGCACTTCCTCGACCGCTTCTACCTGTCACGGATCGGCATCCGGATGCTCATCGGCCAGCAGATCGAGCTGAACCAGCCGCAGCAGAAGCACCGCGACTACGTCGGCGTCATCTGCACACACACGCGGATCGCTGACGTCATGCAGGAGGCCATTGCTAACGCGCGCTTCATCTGCGGCGACTACTACATGCTTATGAGCGTCCCAGAGATCGAGCTTCATTGCCCCACAGACCTGGAGTTCATGTACGTGCCGAGCCACCTGCACCATATGATCTTTGAGCTGCTGAAGAACTCGCTGCGCGCCGTCGTCGAGTTGTATGGCGACGAGGCCGAGCGGTACCCGAAAATCAAGGTGGTGGTCGCCGAGGGCAACGAGGACATTACTGTGAAGGTTTCGGATGAGGGTGGCGGTATTCCGCGCAGTGCCATGGAGCAGGTGTGGACGTACATGTACACGACTGCGCAGACGCCCATGCTGGACCCCGAGTTTGACCAGTCAGACTTTAAGGCCCCGTTGGCCGGCTTTGGCTATGGCTTGCCGCTGAGCAGGCTGTACGCTCGTTATTTCGGCGGTGACCTCAAGCTGATCTCCATGGAGGGCTATGGCACCGATGCGTATCTCCATCTGAGCCGCCTGAGTGACAACGAAGAGCCACTGGCTTAAGTAAATAATTATTTTTATTTGTGTATACATTTCTTTATTTCTTGCTAAATCACTCTTGATCTTCAAAGTCAAAATACGACAGGCTGTGCTTCTTCTTGTGCAGCTTGGCTCTTCTCTGCTCCCTCTGCGCGGCCAATAGCTCCAAAACGTCCTTCTGCAAGTCCTTGTTTTTCTTGGTCACCAATTTGCTAACGGCGCGGAGTGTCTTGGTATTGCGTTCGAGCTGGAGCTCCTTTTCCGAAAGTTTTTTGGTTACTGTAAGTTCTTTTGGTGATAATGTCTCTATGGCAGTGGTGGTGGATGGCTCTGTGGTGGGGGTTTTGCGCCGGATAAATGCCGTGACGTTTTGTCTGTTACGTTCTTTGCGCACACGCTTTGAGGGTGCACGTTTCATCAGAATGTTGAGCGCTTGGATGGATTCTATGCTGGACATGGTTTGATATTATTATAAAACAAATTAAAGGAAAATAAATAAATTGAAGGAAAGAAAAATAAAATAAAATATAGTGAAGAAAAATAAAATACATTTTGACACTGTTCTTTCATTTTTTATCAAGAAAAAAAAGCCAGATGTTTGATTGATTAATTTTATACTGGTGATTGTAATCAAGGCTTATTCCGGAATCCTGGTAAGTGAAATGAAATTGAAGAGGAAAAAAAAAAAAAAAGAAGAAAAAAAAATGAAGCAACATGGCTGTGGTTTTCTCCACACCAGTTTTTTCTTTTTAAAATAAAAATAAAAAAGAATGGCCGGTTTCATTGCCTTAAAAAGACAAAAAGAGAAGGAAAAAATGTTTTTTTTTAAAAAAGGACTTATTCGTCACTTTGTGATCTGCAAAACACACAATTTGTAATAATAAAAATTAAAACAAAGAAGCGCTAATATGGTGTGATTTTGAGGCCTGGATGTAGTGAAAATAGTGATGTTTCTCTTTCATAAAGTAATAAACGTCAGCACCTCTTCCTTTCCTTTTTCTTTACCTTTTTTTTCTTTTTCTATTTTTTCTATTTTTTCTATTTTTTCTTTTTCAGTCTGTAACATTTACTGCACTTTTATTTATTCATTCCTTCAATTTCATTTATTCATTTATTATCTTTTCTTCCACAACACACGCAAAAAAAGCAACAAAAAAAAGCAAAAGGGAGAAATTCGACAATGCTAAAAATAAGGTCGTTCCTCACGCTCCTAGTATTCGCCTCTCTCGGGCTTCTAACCTACACAACGTACCAATACCGGGACAATTTTCGTGACCGCAGCGTCACCAACTTCACCAATGATTCTTCCCCAGAAGAAGACAGCGGAATGTTCCACAACCTCCTCGCCAACAACCTCTCGAACCTTTGGCAAGGCGACACCCACGTAGTAATGGGTAAAATGGCCAACGAAACACTCCGCGCGCAACTCGGCCGCCGCACCTGGTACCTAATGCACGTCATGGCGTCCCGCTACCCGACAGACCCAACGGCGGATGAAAGAGGAGCGATGAAAAGCTTTTTGTTCTTGTTGTCGCGGTTGTATCCTTGTGGGGATTGTGCGCATCATTTTCAACAGCATTTGAAGAAGCATCCGCCGGTGGTTGACTCTAGGGATAAGTTGGAACAGTATTTGTGCGCTATGCATAATGTTGTTAATAAGTCGTTGAAGAAACCTGTCTTTGATTGTGCTGTTGTGCATGAGACTTATGACTGTGGGTGTGGGCCGGATAACGTCAGATATAACCCTAAAGCCGTGAACTAGAAAAATGCGTTTTTTGTCTTTTTTTGGGAACTTTTTTTTTCTTTAATCTTACAATTTTTTATTTATTTGCAGCTTTACTGCCCAGTTACTTGCTTGAGCAAGCTCCTTTTTTCAGGGTGGTATGTGCAACAGGGTTGATGAGTTTGAAGATGCTCTGATTTGATTTGCTTTGGGTTTGAGCGCAGCAATACATCACAAGTGTCATCTATTTAAATTTTTATGAATTTTTATTATTCTCAGCATGTGCGGACAAAACAATGCTTAAAATAAATGAGCGGCCCTGCACAGTGCTTTTTATTTAATTAAACGGCGTCTTGGTCATAGCCCAGGGTGTTTTAAAAGCTCTCTTTTGAATTTTTCTTGTGCATTTTTCTCTTTATTCACCAAATAAATACTATTTTTCATTTCACTACTTTAATAACCAAAAACAAACAAACAGGAAGAAAAAAATAAGCTATGACGCAGACAAAAGGACAGCAGCACACATCCGACCTGCCACCGGCATACTCGACCACAGACCCCAGCGTGTATTCCGATGGCGCTGCTCCCCCTACTGCCACTTATCCTTCGCAGAGCGACCTAAAAATCGACCAAATCGGACCCAAACAACTCCGTGCAACCCAAGGATTCCCTCTAGACCGTCCGCTATTTATCCATACGACAAATATTTCCGGCAGCACGCTCCTCGTGCAACCAGACACTAACATCAATAACCACAATGCGGTTATTGTCAGCGTCGAGGTGGCCTCCCAGGCGGGAGGTATCCGGGATAAATGCGATGTTCTTGTGCATATGAATGCACATGGTGAATATGAGTTCCATGTGCAGTCAAGGTATGCTTTTTGGAGTATGGCGCTTGTCCAGTGTCGGTTTACTGTGAGCATTCCCTTTGGTGCCGGCGGCATGCATCCGGGGGTTAGGACTGAGCTGACAAATGGCTGCGTTGATATCGTGCGGCTGGGTAATATGCGGTTCGGGTACGTAAATGTAACCACGACGAATAAGCCCGTGACTTTAACGGACGTGCGCAGCAGACTTGTCCAAGTCATATCAACCAATTCCTGCGTACAGGCTACCGGTGTAATATCTGAAGCCGAGATTTCCCTGAGAACCACGAATGCCAACATAGCCCTGGTGAACTCTCAGGCGCCGCAGATCACCGTGTCTTCGACTAACCGCACTGTCACTCTGCAGAGCGTATCTGGACAGGCTGTGCATGCACAGACTAGTAACTCAAGGGTTGTCTGCGATAACGTCACTGCCGGTGGTGAGATGCACCTTGTAACTACTAACTCTACAGTGTCGACAAATGTTGTTGTGGCAGATTCCCTGCGCATCATGACGAGTAACTCCGGGGTGGAGGGGTCGTGGCGGGTTGGGAGCTATTTGGGTGTTCGCACGACGAATGGGAGTATTACCGCGGATGTCTTGTTTAATGGTGATGCGGGGAGTGCCCGTGCCGTTGTTGAGCTTTGTTCTTCGAATGCTCCAATTAGGGCAAAACTGCCGGCGGGATTGTTTCGTGGCTCGTTTGATGTCAAGACGTTGAATGCTAATGCTGCTGTGGTGTGGAAAGGAGGCAGTGACAGTGGCAATGACGGCCAGATAGTGGGTGGTATGCCGTTGAACTTTAGCGTGGATGATAAGTGCCATAAGCATGGTACTGTTGCTGCTGCTGCTGCTGCTGTTGGATTGGGGCATATGCAACATGATTTTTCGGCAAAGACATCTAATGCCCTGGTTGAGCTTTTGTTTGTGTGAGAGACAAACTTAGGTTTTACAATATTGGCTGATTTGATTATTTTAATTTATTTAATATGCACGTGGTTTTTTTATCAGTAAATGTTTATAATGGAAAATTTCTCGGACAATTATTTATTGTTTTTTCTGCACCTTGGCTTTCGTATCAGCAAATAATCCGGCTCGGTCATCATGTAGAAACTGATATAGCTCGGCCCATTTTTCTAAAAGGACCACTTTGCCCGACATGGGATGTTTTTATATTTCCGAAATTTACCTTTATAACATGGCCATGTTATTTTTCCTTCGAATATGGCGCCATTAATTCCTTCATTTACCTTCATGGAACCTTCCTACGACTAAATCCGCCTTCTCGGCCGTGAAATTAAAAAGCCGCGTGTTGTAAATACTACGCATGAACAAAGACAAAGAGGTATAAAAATCAACAAACGCAGGCTAATATATGTACATATGTGTCAGTCGGACACAACCATTGTTATTTTTAAAAGCACTCAATTTAATGTATACTGATACTGACATGTTATGCCCATTTCACCTGTCAGCAAGTTGCAAAATAAAATTAGCATGTGGTCATCCAATAAATTGGTTTTATACTTTTTTTTAAAAAAAAAAAAAAAAAAACTGTACCGCTAATTTATTTTCCTTCTGGTGGTGTGAGATATTTTTGTAATGCACGCATGCTTATCAGAAATTACAGTATTGTGATAAATGTGGTTTGGAATCACAGAAGTCGTGTCGATCTGTTTTGAACCAGTGTATGTTTTTGTGTGGGAAAGGGAAAACCGCATTTCTGGTGTGAGAGTTGGTCTTGCCGTCTGGAGTTTATTTTTATTAGTTTATTTTTCTTACAGTCAATTTGTGGATTTTAAAGCAGCTCACAACACTGTTGCAAGCCAAATATGATAAAAGTAAAGAAAAACGAAAATAGATCCAGTAATGTCATCATAACAACAATTGGCAAAGGAATTCCCCTCCCCTCTCATCCCTACCCACTTCTTTCCCTCACACCATATCGACTTGCTTCTTAGTCTGCAGCTCACAAGTTGGCAATAATAACCCGCTTGGCTTGTTTCATTTGTCTCGGTATATAATCGCACCATTTTTAATTACAAAGCACTTTTCGCATTTTGCTTAGCATTGGCTGCAATGAACCCTTATTTTTACAATACAAATATTAACATTTTTCATAAGCCAATTCTTGGCGCGGCCCCTTCCAAATGAAAACTTTAAAAAATTATGACAGTGCTTGACAGAAAAATTAAAAGCATTCAATTTTGCTGCCCTTGCCATTTTCCTCTCTCCCCCACCACAAAAGCGAAAACGATACGAGAATACAAAATGCTGGTGGCATTATTCTATCAGTGTGCAGCATGAAAGAATAATAAAATGGGCAGGGAGGATAAAATGATCGCCAAATTCTTAAAAAAGACATTCGGTCCCAAAAAGAAAACAAAATGCGGGATTGAGGGAGTGAGTGAGAGTGGGAGTAAGAGTGTGCGAAAAATGTGAAAAAGGAGCAGCACAAAGACCGGCCACTGAAAATCATCGTATTTTTAGATTCCACCCACTCTCGTTTCTGCAAAGCAAACAACAATAATTATTTGTTTTTTGTGATTGTTTGCCTTTTTGCACCCGTTCTTTCTGGTGCCAAGCAAGCTTTTTCCTTTTCTTTTGCTTTTTTCATTGATGGAGGGTGGGTGAACAGCTGCACCTTCGAGAGACTATGGAAAATAATACTATGCCAGTTTTCAGGACGCTAGAAATAACTGGTATTTCAATTAGTAGTGAATTCCCGCTTTTTTCTTTGGGCTTTTCTCTGTATAAATAATAGCGCGCCGTGTACTTGCAATAAAACTGACTTGTTTCGCTCATCCTTTTTCAATTTCTTTTCTTTTCTTCGCTTGCTTGACATATTATATTCTTTTATTTTATTTTCAGCACTTTCCTTTCATCTTTTTTTGATTTTTGTTCTTGTATTATTGGTGTTTAGTCGCTTATTTGTTCTACTTGGACCTTCATCATCTATCTATCTACACCCCCACATCCCTCCACCTTCTTCCACCCCTACGGACATTATCCTCTAACGCACCGATCACTTTTCTGTACACCCCCATATCGCGCTTTGTATCCAACTGTGAATCGCAA